AAGCAACAGTAGTCATTTCATGGTTTGTAATTGGAAAGCAGTTCAGCGGAAGGAACTCAGGAATCATGGTCGTTTAGTGTTTCCAACGAGCCCCTTCAGTCTCCTCGGGACGAGATGAGCCACTGACCACCGCATTCTTTGTTTCTGCCTATATACTTGTATCAGAATCGCTCTGCCCCACAATACTAACACACGTGTCGGATTTCCGGCATATGTGCAAGGTTTAGATGGTCAGCTGGCTAAAGCCTTCAGTCCTACCCGACAAGCACAACGCGTCACAAACGGAACTGCACTGAAAGTTCGGACACTTCACTGTGCAGAATATTATGACAGGCGTGCAGGCAGGCTTCATCACGCCAAGCTTTCATGTCCGAACCCTCGGCAAAGTCAAAGCCTTGATAGATTTTGTTGGATGTGGCCACCCCAAATCAGGAAAGCACATGTGAGCGTCCAATGGAACGATAGTTGCCCCCCTGAACCCCAAACACTGGGTTGCTGTTGAGGAACATAAATTAGGTTACTAATAAGAAGGAAATCCTCATTTACTATATACTAATATTTTGGTATCTTTATTTAGGTTGCTTAGCAGAACCCCGTTTCCGAGCGGGTGAATGTGACCAGCTTTTTCAGGACAGCTAACGCTTCCGGTGAATAAAAGCACTTCGAGATGGAGTTTCGGGGTTTCGGGTGTAGGGGTAGGGGTTGAGGGTTTAGGTTTTAGGGGTTTAGGGTTTAGGAGTGTAGGGTATGGGGGTTTAAGGATTAGGGGTTTAGAGTTTTAGCGTTCAACGTTTTGGGTGAGAGCTCAGGGTTCAGGGTTTCTCCGCAATACTGGCCCAGACATGCAGGAAGCTAAGAATCTCGTTTCGGCAGACGAGGTGCCTCCACATTCCCAGAAGTTGGAAACTATAGGGATTATATAGGGGCTTTATAGGGATTATAGGGTACATATTGGGGTTATGTGGGGAAAATTAAAAAAATAATAGAAACTACTATATAGTTTGCCCATTTGCAGTTAGGGATCCAAAGCAGGGTACCCCAGGAGAATAGCAGGAGCATGAATAGGTCTCGAGGTCCTGACTAGCTGTCCTGCTAGTACTGCATTGTCGGGGTCGCGGTTTTGGGTTTCCATCAGCATGGGTTTGGGGCTTAGTGGGTTAAATTCTGCAACGGTGTATGAGGGTGATATGAGCTATAGTCTAAACTCCTTAGAGAGGGTTACATAGGGGATAGTATAGGGTAGTATCATCGGGGTTCTTATGGGGGGGATACTAGGAGTTTCGACCATATAGCTCATATGGAATAACTGCCTAGACTGAGGTATGGGGATAACAGCTTCGGACACATGTAGACCTGGACGGGACTCTCTTGTACGAAGCTTGTCCTGGGCACCGACTAGTTCTTTGGAAGGTCTATTCAAAGTCAGCCTCCTTGAATCTAAACCCTAAACTGTAAACGTTAAACCCTTAACGAAGTATGGATAGAACCCTGGCATATCCTTTTTGTCTGCAACCAATCCGAGGACGCTGGGTCAGAAAGTCTGGCTGGACTTCAGCTACGAAATCCCCAGAAGCAACATAGAACCTCATTTTTTCCGAAGATTGCATGGCAGTTCCTTGACAGCCGTCTGAGAATCCCTATTTTACTGCTGAGATTGTAGGGCACCACATTTTGCGAAGTTTATGCCGGTCTCTTGCTGGCTCAAGCAAGTGAAGCAGTGCCGGCTACGACTACTTGCTCCGGACAGCCTCTGCTCGGGTCCCAGGTTTCCCAAAGACGAAGACCTTTAAACCAGAAAACCTTAAAACGTAAGTCCTAAACCTCCAAACCCCAGGGCTCCAACCCTACTGCTAGGGCCGCCTCTAGTCTGTTTGGGGATCAACATAATGACCCTGTACAGTATAAATGATCAACCACAAGCATTTCCAGCATTGGATGTTCAGGAGACAACGCGTGAAGCAATTGGGGTTGAAAAGGGCTTCTGGTTATAGCGGGACAAAGTTGAACAAGCAAGTGGATATGCAATACCAGAGGGAAAAACTGCACTTTGCAGGGCATCAGATGTCAGCAAATGTTTTATATCGTGACATTTGCGCTCCCATCTCTATTCAAGTTTTGCATAGATATGGCTTGTGCAACAAATGATGTATTGGCTAGGCCTATTCGGACGCCCTAGGTGGGGTTTCTTCAAAGGTGGTGAGTGCACAGTTGGTGTCCTCTGCGGAAGCTCTAAACTTAAGCCGTGAGCCTTATATAAATCCTGCACGCTGAGCCCTACCCTATATCAGTGTCAAGATGATTAGGCGGAACTGAATGTTTGCTTCTAGTTTGCAGGTTGGTGCAGATGTCCCAGGCACCATGCTGCATTGTAGAAATACCTACGGGGAGCTGAAGCATGAATTCCCCAAACGCAGAAAATCTTGTAGTAGAGGCCAGATGGGGGAACATGGAAATGTGACGATTTATGCTGTGTTTGTTCCGGGCTTGGCGATAGGAGGATACTGATGTCCTAGCTTTCTGGCTTGTACTCTAGACTCTAAACCCTAAACCCTAAATAGTTTTTTCTATTTTGTTTCCCATCATTTCTATATAGTCCCTAATTATATAGCCCTATAAAACCTTATTAGTTGGTTTGACAAGGTGCGGAGGTTTCTTGGCCCTTAGCCCACAATAGGGCTTTGGAGAAGAATTAGGGGATCCTGCTTGGGAGACCCCATAGCTAGGACTCCAATATGTTTGGGCTCCATTTTGGGGTATGCCTAGTTAGCTACATATTACCCATTGTGTGTTGTGCAACCTTTTCATTATGCAAAGTCTCCACCTCAGCCACAGTTCTGGAGTGGGTCTAGGGGAACAAGCGGGGCTAGCATCCAAGGTTCGGGGGTGTTTGATTGTGCCCTCAATGCCTATTTTTGCACAGCATACCACTGTCTCGTACCCTAAGCCGGAAAAATCATCTTTTTTTTCCTGCCGATAACCTTTATGATGGTTACTGAAAATTCCCCAAGCTCTTCCTGAAACTCAGGTCCCATAGGAGGGCGCCCAAACATGTCAGCTTTACTGTTCTAAACATTTCCAGGAATGCAGGACCCACAAACTTGAAGCTCTACGCACATCCCTGAACTTAACTTGGTTATCATCATCCCGCATGCCCATGATGCCAATCAACTTTTCTTCCTTACGCGCCAGTGGGCCGGTAAGTAGGTTTCCATGTAGGGTCTTGGGGAACCGCGGGCAAGTGTGGCAGTATCTTACGATTGTTGTTACATGGGAGGTGTTCAAGTTACAATCTTGAGGCGCTATCCCCCAACAAGCCCTTCAAAGTCCCTGTATCTCCGGGGGTGCTTCAGGCTACCCCAAGAACGAAAAGCCCCCAAGTGAGGATATACCAGAAGGCGTCCTAATTAGTTCCAACACCGTAACCGTTTGACCCCGGATCCTGAGCAGAACCCGTAAGCCAGATACCCCAATCCACACCTGGCCGAAGGCCATGTCGCATGTAGCCCGCGAGTTGCTAAAGCGAGAGCTGTGCCAGCTCATGAAGGATTGCTGTGGGATTTCAGGGTGTTGGGGTTTGAGGGTTTGGAGCTTACGCATGAGACGCTTTGTGGCTTGCGGGTTGAGGGGGTTTGGGTATCGTGCTTGGTTTCGGATTGAGCTGAGTATCTAGGGGACTTGGGGTTAAGGCTGGATAGTCTTTGGGGGTTGACGGGGCTTCAGGTTCAGGAGCCTCGAAACTTAGCCATTTTACGCGGAACCCGAAGGGGTTTTATAAAGAGTACTTTTAAAGCGGTTCCAGGAGTGCCGTAAGGATACGTGCAGTTACAGCATGATTTTCACTGAAACGCTGTACTGACGCTCTCAGCTGTTGGAATGGTTTGGTGTTTATTTCTGGTGGAGGTGGGCTGGTAGGTCTGGGCTTGAGGGCTTTGGGCAGAGTTAGCTACTCAGCTACTCTGTAAACCATTTCTTCAAACTATTGCAAAAGCATTGGAAGATGGTGGAGGGAGGTTACCTGTGTATCAAGCGCAGAGTGCCCACTGAAGGCAGACCAACTACTTGCCTATGGTTAGTAGGGATAAACAGAGGTTATAGAGGGGACATGTTGGGGTTACGCAGGGCTTATATGGGACGGTGACCCCAATGACAGGGAGACCAATGAACAATTTGAAGCTTGCGACTTTTGTGCCTATGTGTGGATATGAGTCCCCATGTAAATATTCTTGCTCAGCCTTTTTGAGATGAATTGATGTTTCACTTTAGTGGCAGCGCGCTGTGATAGTCATAGCTGTTGGCACTTACATCGGGCGGTGGCTCTTTGAGGGACAGCCTCCTTCCTGACTGGTAAGCTATCACAGCCGACGTTGAGGCCTTTCGCTTGGAGTTGTCCCAAGGGCAGCGTCTTCTTGAACAGGCCAACACTGCTTTCGATATTTGTCTATGCGAGACTGAAGTGCAAAGATTTCAGCTACGAGCCTCTGGCTGGGTTGAGCTTGTGCTTGCGTCGGTGCTGGGCGCAGTCATATTGTGGTGTCGTATCAACATCACATGTAGGCCCGCGTCGACTGAAGAAGTCTCAGAAGAGCCATCAGATTATCTACTTGTTGAGGAGACAGCTCAGGAAAGCCACGGCTTGCTACGGTTACCAGATCGAACAGGACTTTTCACACCGTCCGAACTCCGGCGGTTGAAGACAAGCCGACAGCATGGATCCGATGCTCCGCACCCTTGATGTTCCAGAACCGCAAATCCTTCTGCATTTCCCTTATGATGCCAACGGCTTTCTATGGCATCACAGACTCCTTCCTGAAAAGATGGGGGCGGGCACATGGATAGGGCTCACGCCAGATGGGGACCGGGAGAGGATCAACTTGAACGTGGCCATCCACGGTGTGTTGGAGAGGCGAAGGGAGTTTCCAGCACCTCAAGCGCCTGCAGTGTATGTTTTCGATCCGTTGACAAGGGCAGAACTCGATGGATACAGAAGACGGCTCTAGATCATGGCTAACTTGCTCAATGATGCTGACGTTGTCGACGTGGAAGCTTACGACTGGCTCATTGCCGACACCTCTCGTCCTGACTTTGGTGATCGCGTCACGGATGAGGAGATTGATGAAGCTGTTGTTCTCAGAGATTCCGCCATCATCGGGCGGGCAGGCGAGGAAGTTTACGCAAAGTGGGTAAGCCCGACTGATAATTAAGGCGAACTGGTTGATGCAGAAGGAGAAGACCAAGGGTGATGCAAGGCTCTTAGGAGATCATCGAGATTCTCAGGGCAAACGATTCTTGGACTTCAAATCCGGGGTTGGCATGCTTCGGGCTTCGGGAGTTTGCTATTGATGACTGGCCGTTGATAGGACCGCGGGCCGTCAAGGAATACCTTGAAGCTGTCCGCAATGGGTCAACCGATATGACAGCCTATCACCTCACCTGGTTGCAAGCATCTGGGGTCTCACAATCTTCAGGTGCAGACATGTTGCGGGTTGGTCTGGGCATTGACCAACTGGATCTTTCCAATATCTTCGTGGCGGAGCTTGCCGTCCGAAGGCTCATTCAGATTGAGACAGCTGTAGCGCGCAATCCTGCCTCGCCAGATTACACAGGTCCTGAGCTGTTGATGGAGCAGAGTGTCGGTGCCACTGGACAGGCTGTGACCTTGACCTTCAACAACTGGGTTGCCTCTAAGCTAAAAGACCGGGCCAACGTACAGAAACTGACGAGGCTCTACAAAGAAGAGTTCGGCGGCAACCGAGGCAGTGTCCCCACCAGCGAGGAGAAATGAAAAGAGAAAGGGAAAGGGCGAGGACGCAATCCTAGAGAAAAAGCTAATGCCGGCAGCGAGGGTGCTGCCGGATCCAGTGCGTAAACATTTTGGGGTGAGCCAGTTTTGTCAGGCCATGACACCTTTTTTGGCCTTTCAGGATTTGATGAGATACACAACCTCTATGATGGGGAGCCTCGAAAAATCTTGCGTGCTACAATCCTGAGCAGAAGCTTAACATTCTCAAGTCGCAGGTTAAGCCTAAGCCTTTATCAGAGCTTCTCCCTCCGCACGTACTTCCTCTTCTTCAACGCAAGGAGAGTCATATTGAGCGGAGTGCAGCAGAATTCGTCAAGTTAATGCGCGATGATCCCAATCGGTGCCCAAAGCAACCGTACTGCGACCATAAAAAACTGTGGTCAAGCTGTTCCTGTTGATTTCTTTCGGCGTCTTTACAAGTGCTGGTACACTTACACTTAGGATTCATCTGCGGAGCAAGATTGGGATATTTTTCGTGAAGAAGAAAGACCCCTCTGCAATCCGAACCATCGTTGACGCCCGTAGTACACACGCTCATCACAAATCCCCGCCTGTCACCAGACTTGGCAGTGCAGGGAACTTTGCAGAGCTTGATTTGTCGGTCAAGGCCATGCAGGAGCATTTATGTGCTGAAACTGATCATGACACAACCGGTTTGGGCACGGCGATGGATGTATCCAACTGCTTTTATCAGTTTGAGCTGCGCCAGATGGCTTCTTGATTTGGCATTGACATGCCAAGGTCAAAATCCTTCTGGGTCGAGCACGGGTTTGAGATTGACAAGATCTATGATGATTGTTGCAATCCTTCTTTCAAAGTTTGTCCTGACACCGTGTTGTACCCATGCATAGGCGGTATGCCGGTGGGATGGACATGGGCTTTGTTTTTCGCAAGTGAAACAGCCAAAACGCCAGCAATTGACAGAGGCAGCAGCCCAGCACACAACACCTGCAGCTTCTCTTGCA